TCCTGCACGTCCTTGAGCGCTCTGTGACGACCAGCAAAACTCCTGTCTAGTCGAGAGTGTCCGGTAACCATCTCAAGCGTTTCGATGGAGAAGTCGGCAATCCTCTGGTCAGCCGACCGAGAGCCTAAACGCACGACCTTTTTGGTGATGCCTGCATCAAGAACGGAACCGAGCATATGGTCCAGCGCGTGATTTGTGAATGCTATCATAAGTATTGGGCGAACGTGATTGGCTATCAACACTCGGAGCAGTTCCACTCCTGTGAAACTCTGAGAGAACGGGGTGAGTAGTGCAGTAACCTGGACCACGAGATGTCATACCTTTCCCGTCCCGGGTGGCCTTCAAACATATGAGACTACTGTGGATACAAAGACAATAAGGTAAACTCACCCTTGTATGAGCGCAACCTCTCGCGAGAGTGCATCTATTATAGCGTCGGCTTGACTCCCATCAAGACGACTTCCGCGGCGCAGCTCAGATCGGGAGTTTTCGACAGAAGTTGCATCCGAAATGGAGAGTCGGAGGTCCGCAATCCCAGCACTTTCCGGGAAGAGTGACGAGAGCTGGAATGCAAAGCCAGGGACTTGAGTGTATTTCGGCGGCTCTATCTTGCAAGTGTCAAAATAGCGAGGCGGACGATGGACCATGTAACGAGAGAATGGTAAGGTCTCGGGTTCTACCTTGAGGGCCTCCAGGAAAGGCCGGATGGCCTCGAACATCACCGGCGATTCCACAAGAAGCCTTATGCCATCCCCGCGCCTATTGGGACCCTTGAGCGCCTGAAGGATGCGCAGCTCGATCTTCGAATCGAAGAACACAATGCGAACTTTGACACGTCGAGCGTCCTGCTTTGCAGAATCTGTCAAGTCTTTCAAGGAGCTCGCTATGATTCCAAGGTGAACGGACACATCGGACCCTGATTGCCACACGAGAGCTATCAGGCCTCCTTGCGCAAGACGCTTTCCGCTCATACCCTCCCAAAAGGAGGCACGCACACTGGATTGCGGAGAGCTGGCACGACCCGGAGGCGACTGGACGGTAATGCTGACCGAGAGTCCTCGGCGATCGGGGACGAGCGCAGTGAACTCCGCGTTGGCGTACACGTTGAACATGATATTTTCCTGGCCATCGGCGTATCCGCGATATTTTCCGCCCCCCTTTTCCAAGATGTCAGCAAGACGCGTCTTCTTGCGATTGCCTACTTTGAGGTCGTCCCCAACAAGCTGAACTGCCATGCGCAGCGGTGCACTGGAGCGCAAATGATATCAGCACGTCAAGCACTTCAAATTGGGAGGACGCACGTTAGCTCCTCTCTTAGGAGCCGGAACTGTATATCCAGCAGCTTTTGCATGCTTTCGGGAGGAGATGGATGCGGCGCGCCGTATATATTGGCCGGCAAGAAAGGCGGAAGGCGACACAAAAGCTCTTCGTGGGTGGGCGCAATACGGATGTCATAGATGTCTTGGAAATCGTTGTCGTGGCGGGAGCCTCCTGAGCGAAGTTCTCCAGGCCCTTCGTAGCTGCTGTGAAGAGCGGACAAGAGACCTTCATTTTCGTCTGCAGCGCCAGAAGAAGACCTAGGCTCCCGCCGACTTTGTGCAACCGTCTTGCCCTGCTCACGCTCCACAATCGATACCAGACGCATCACCTTGTCCTTGATTGCCCCCGTGATAAGATCGCGCACTTCCGGCTGGACAGCTTTGAAAGGATCATCGAACGCCGCAGGAGTTGCGGATAATTTAACAAGCCACTGATCGAACCAATCGCGAAGATTCATCACCAAAGGCGCGATACGAGGATATGTTGAAACAGCATTCTTGAATCGGACGAGAATCCTGTGGTAACTGGTCAGATTTTCGTGTAGCGCCCATTCAAAAAAATGCGAATGCACTCGTATAGTATACCGGAAAGAGACGCGAGGACTTGATTTCCAATCGCTTGATCCTTGTTCAAAGTAGTAGAATCCCTGAATGACCCCACAGCCATGGCCTCAGACACGTTCGCCTCAATCACATCGGCAAAATGAGGAAGGTTTTCAATGACAGTCATGAACAGCATACTGGATTGTCAATTAGTTTTGCATGTATGAAGTGATATCAGCAATACCTACTTTGCCTGAGTGGTGAGCGTGCTCTTGACGACAAATTCGGATGACATATACTAAGCAGCGTCGTCAGCGTGCGGAAAGAAGGCACCAAGGAGGCTAGCACGCTACTCACCCTCAACAGAGGTAGCAGACCTCGTTGGAATGACAGAATGGAACGGTTTGAACCGGCTTGGATCGAGACCAGAGGCCAGTTGATTATATCGATGATACGCAAGAGTCCATTGTTCTATTGGCACCCGGTCAGCCGCAATATTGTTTTCAGGAGGAAAGTCTGCTGACCGAGGTGATAGTCGACAACAAGAGCTGTTCGTGATATGTATGAATAGCAGTAGCATCAGCAAAAAAAATACCACTTACTTGGCCTTCTTCTTGAGTCTGAGAGAAAACGTGAACATAAGAGATGACCAGCCGACTCCAAAGGAAACTAGTGCTCACCCATAGACCGTTCGAGGCATTTGCGCTGCTCAGTGGTTTCAAGAAGGCATAAACCTCAAACGCCGAGCTGAACCGGAAGCTATCGTGCAAAAACCTCTTCAAATGGCTGTGAGCTTCCGTCGGGGACAGAGATGCGGACGAATCCGACGAGAAGAAGACGTCCGTTCCGCTCCCATTGATCTTGTTCAGTCCAGCATCTGTGAGAAACGGCGCGATCGCGTCGATCGTGACCGTATTCGCGGGGGTGAAACCCTGTCGCTGAGGAGTCCGAGATTGTGTAGCAGATCCAGCGGCATCGGGGTTCCGCGTATGTTCAAAACGGCAGTCGAATTCCCGCCTGCAGTGGCCTGTTGCCCAGTAGAAGTTGCATTTTCCGCGCGGAGCTTGTGGGGTTGAGAATGACGGACGTCCTGTGCCACGCATGGTGCCGCCACCGCGACCCGGAGACGTCCCAGCAGACGAAGTGGGCGAAAGGGGCCGCTCGTTGGCGCGCCACCCTCCTCCATTGGCAGCGTGCGAGAAGCGACAACTATTGCCGCTCCGACATCCTCTCGGCGAGTTGAAGAAATGACAAGGCGTTTGCGACATGGAGCAGAGAATGCGGGAGTCGCTAAGGTTGGACCCCTAATGCATGACTACTAGGTTTAAATACAGGGGGGTTTAACGCCCAGAAAGGCGCCAAGGGCACAGGACCCATCGATCGAAGCTGCGTGTGCCCCACGAGGTTGGAAGTCTAGGGCACATATATCACAATCAAGTCGCCCACAATGGGCTCTGTGAGGGAAAGCAGAATCAATACGAAGCCTGTGGATCAACATGCTGGCACCTGATAGAGTTTGAATGATAGATGACGGGCAGCTATCGCTGCCCTCGCGCTGTGAAGCGAGAATCTGCGTAAAAGACGTCCCAGTTTTTCAATTCAGTCGTTATTTGGCAGGTAATGATCAGCGACTACACGCAGCAGAAGAAAACGTGAATCCAGTTCGCTGAGAATTCGAACATGAGTGTATGAGCGCTTAGCCTTAGCCGGAAAACCGCTCACTGGTAGGCATAATCGCGGAGCTGGAATCCGCAACGGAACCCTTGCAAAACACCTGCCATTTGAATCTCTGTATCTCGAGCAACCACAATCCGCCCTAAGCAGACATGCTACGAGCCCAATCACTGGCGCTTCGCAGAGCGCTCGTACGAAGCTATGCAACTGCTTCGTCGCCTCATGCCCTTGTATTTCTAGAACATCACCAAGGAGCACTCGACTCCGGTTCCCTTTCCGCCTTGACGGCAGCAACCCAGCTGGGTGGGCAGGTCACCGGTCTTATCGTCGGAGGGCCTGGTGAAGTGTCGAGTGCGGTGGAAGCAGCGAAGAAGTGGGTGTGGTGTGCCTCGTCACCTTCCACTCCGTACTAACCCGTCGTTCAGGCTCAAAGGTTTGACGGCCGTCCTGCACTCCACATCGCCGCAGTACACGACTCCGCTGCCCGAAACCGTGTCTCCGCTTTTGGAGAAGCTCCTCTCTAACAACTCACCCTTCACACACGTTGTTTCTGCGCATTCATCTTCCGCCAAGTCGATTCTCCCGCGGGTTGCAGCCGTTCTCGATGTTCCGGCCGTATCAGACATCACATCACTCGAGCACGACGCTTCCTCGAACAGCACCACTTTCACTCGCCCTATCTACGCTGGGAACGCCATCTCCACCGTCCGTGCATCCCCGTCGATACCAATCAAGTTCTTCACAGTTCGATCGACCGCATTTGCTGCAGCTACAGCAGGCGACTCGGCAGAGGCCGACGTGACGACCCTTGACCCCGTAGAAGTATCAGATTGCTCCTCAGAGCATGTGGAGACTTCGCTGACCAAATCAGACCGGCCCGATTTGGGGGTTGCGAGCCGTGTGGTATCTGGCGGCCGGGCTTTGAAGAACGCGGAGACGTTCCAGGCTACCCTGTATCCTCTGGCTGATGCGTTGGGTGCTGCGGTTGGCGCTTCGCGAGCTGCGGTTGATGCTGGTTATGCGGACAACTCGCTGCAGGTGGGGCAGACGGGTAAAGTTGTCGCGCCGGAGCTGTATATGGCACTGGGTATCTCTGGGGCAATTCAGCATCTGGCTGGGATGAAAGACTCAAAACTGATAGTCGCAGTAAACAAGGTATGCTTGGGTATCAGTCATAGTCCGCGTGTGATTTAGGCTAACGACATGAACAGGACCCCGACGCGCCGATCTTCCAAGTGGCAGACGTAGGTCTGGTTGCAGATCTGTTCGAAGCAGTTCCCGAGATGGTAGAGAAGCTAAAGCAATGAGGGGAAGCCGCTCTATTACAACCGCAATGCATTACCATTATTACTCGATGTCTGACTGCTAAGAATTAGTGGATCAACAATTGGAGGTACATACTCAGACTGGATCAACGATTGGAGCGTGGCTCAGACGTAGAAAATGAGAGAATGACCAAAAAATCTCTCTGCCTGGGAGTCGAACCCAGCTCTGCCGCGCACCGCCACTCGATTCAAGCATGACAGGCGGCTGTACTATCCGATATACTAGCAAAGACTCGTTTAATGGTTCCAGTCTTGATTATATGTCCACATCCTCCCATTAAGCCCTTCCTTTGAACCTCTCTGGACCGCGCTCTTGTCACGGTGCAGAAAGCTATATTGGAGGTTGAGCAAAGACTTGTTCGACACCCTTCTCTCATTTACAACGCTGGACCGCAATTCAAGTGTCCAAGCCAGAGAATCATATGCCGGCTGAGAACGACTCCGTGCCAATTGGACGCCCAGGACGCGTTTATAACGCACTGCGATGAACCCTCAAGATAAACAAAACTTAAAGGCACTTCCAAGGTTTGTGCAGGTGAGTTCGCCCACGCGTTCTGGCCTCTCCTCACCGCCTTTCAGGATGCCGCATTGAGAGCCTTCCGTGGCTCACTCATCGATCTCCGGATGTTGAACGAGATCATCAGCACTCATGAGGCGCTCCCATGGGATTACCGACTCACCTCAGCCCTCCTTCCAGTCTTCCACGTCCACTTAGTCTCTGCTCGCCTTCCAAAAGAGACCACCCCTGACACTGTGGACGCCATATCGCGTGCCAAGGAATCGCTATCAGCCCTTTTCCACGTGTGCGCACTCTACACCAGAAACGGCGCTCTTAACAAAGAAGTCGTCGCCGACGCCGCGATCGTTTCAAAATGGGCCGACCTCCTCCCGTGGCTCCAGTTCTTCTACCGGAACTTCCTCGCCCACCCCACATCGCTTCCCAACGGAATGCAAAGCTTCTTTGTGTCCGCTTTCGACGACATGGAAACGGTCATCAACATTTTAGTGACTATGTGTCGATACTCTGGCCCAGGCTGTCCCATTATGAAGTCGTCCCCTCCCACTCTAAAACTGATCATCCAGCTCTGGTCCTTGCTAGCCGACCTAGTCGTTCCCCCTGGCAGTTTGGACACGCTGTCGCAACTGATTGGCTCGTTCCGGGTGTCCCTCTCAATGATCATGGTCGTTTCCGTGGAGGCACCCCAGGAACAGTCCATAATCCCTGCTCTGGTCGAGGCGGGCGGCGGCGTGCCACGGATAGTCACTACAACCCTCCGATACATGCGTCTCATCGCCAAAGACGTCAATAAACTCGCAGTGCCCGAGACCCGCGCGGCGTTCGACGACGCCATCCTCATCGCCTGGGGCATATCCCACTGCCTCAAATTCATGCAGCTGACAAGCCAAGCGGACCCAGCCTTCCGTGAGGAGTTCATCGCTAGGCGTTCCGTCCGCAGCGTCCTCACCGCAATCGAATTCGTTCGACCGAAGCTACTGGTCGACTCGACGGAGAACTCTGACATTGCGCTTGTAAGACAGCAGATCTTCATGGTTGCGTACCGCTATATTACGTTCGCGATGATGTTCGCGAACGACGGGATCTCTGCGCTCTGCGAGGCGCTTCGTGCACGTGTCCTGGAGACGATGCTCCAGACGGGGACGTTTCTCTCTGAAGAGCAGGACCATGCGCGATGTGAAGACGGGGACGTCGGGTTCTTCGTCCTCCTGCCATGTTTCTTCATGTGGGAGAGGGTCTTGCGCGTGCTCTCCAAGGCACTGGACAGGATTACATCGCGAGGCACTGAACGGTATGCGCGACGCGACGCAAAGCTATGGGTCGTTTGGCGTGACTTCACAGCCATCTCAGAGTGGTACCTAAAGACGCACGAAGACATCCGCGAGCTCCGTTCCCCCTTCTCCGAATACGTCTGCGCCGGACTTGAGGCAAGTAACTTAATTTTGGCCCGCGAGTGTGGTTGTGCTGATCACTTTTTTTTTTTTTGTTTCAGTGCGGTGATTCGCCCGACGACGCCCAGTACCGCTGCATAGGCTGCTTGCTCGTGAGGTACTGCTCGAGTGAATGCCAGCGGGATCACTGGAAAGACAAACATCGAAAAATATGCAAAATCCTAAGACTAGCCGTCGGTACGTTCGTCCCGTCCCGTCCCATTTCCCATTCCCCCATTCCATTCTTTCTTGTCGAACTTAATTGTCGTTTTCGATATTGCAGGGCACGACGGCTCACGAGACATCCGGCGCAGCCTCCCCATAATCGCAGCGCTAGAAACCGAACAATGGGCCGACAACCGCGCCGTCTTCGAGGAACTCATTGCCGCCGCCGACCCAGCCAGCACCGGCGAACAGCTAGTCCTCGAGCTCGATTTGGGGCAGTACCCCATCGCGTCCCGTGTTTTCACCTTTGCGCGATATTCGGAGATCTGGAACTTTGCGGGTTCGGGAAAGGAGGCACTATGGGAAAAGGCGGTGGAAGCGGCGCGGGATGTTGAGGGCCTGAGAAGGTGTCCAAGGGTGGTTACGGTGGTTAAAGTATACTTGGGGGGTGCGCCGCAGGTGTTGTTTAGCCCGTCGACGGCGCTGAGGTTGGCGTTTGACTGGCCTGTGTGACGACGAAAAGGAGGAGGAATGTGAGGAGGAAGACACCAACGACTCTTTGTTAGGTGGCAGACGGCTTTTCCCACAATTACCGACTAACACATCACTCGAGTACCACATCTCGGCCTAACTTTACCCAACCGGTTTGTTCCTCCTGCCCTCCTGGTATTTCCCGTCTAACTGAACGCGTCCGGCAATTCAGCTCTTGCCATAAAGCTTCGAGCGGTGCTGGCAGATGGCGGGTCGATTCCCTGCTGGTCACCCATGCTAGCCCGTCTTTTGGCCCAGCGTTCAGCATGCTCAGGTTTCGCAGGTATCCAGATTGACAGAATCACGCACAATCGCATTTTCCTGCGCCATGGTGATGCTGGAAGTAGGGATGCTGGTTGACTGGACGTGACAATGGGCAGTACACAATGTCGCAGCTGAGAAACCGAGTGCAGGAAGGTCGTGTTAAGATCCAAACGATGTGCTTCCTGCGTAAACTGTACAGGTACTCAGGCCTCAGAGGAATAATACGACACTCATACGACGCGAGTTGCTCGACTGTTCCCTAGAGGCTAAACGCCCAAAAGACAGAGACCCCCGCCACTGGCCAGACCCCTGTTGAGGCTGCTGTGGTCCTGATCAACCGTCAACGCAACCACTCAGGTTGTATCTTTGACACTCGGGCTATGACTTTCTACAATCCGACGTCCAGCTTAAAGTTGGCTGGTAAAGTACTGGTTGTTGTGCGTTCATCAGTCTTGTGACACGCTATAACTGACGACTGAAAGATGTGATCCAAGTTAGCCTGTCGTATCAGTTGCAAATGTTGCCCAGCTCGCAGCTGATCTGCTGATCACATCTCTCGCGCTCGATCGCGTTGGCGTGTTCGATCCAAAATTTCTCGTCCCAGTCGTCGGGGCGCGTGAAGATGGCCTTCCGGGCATTACCACTCCTCTCGAATGTGAGCTTTTACAGCTTGCAGCTCCTTGATGCCTGAATGATAGATCGCATTATGACAGTGTATGCAAATGAAAGTCAAAATATCGCTGTCGTTCAACAGCGTTCTCCAGCTCTGAAAGTGAGTAGACCTGTCCCTTGAGATGATTCTCTAGTTGACCTATTTCTCCAGGCTTTCAAGCAGGAGTTTGTCGACGCACTCCTCCACTTTATCAGCACGTCCGGGGTGTCTGCTGTCCTTTTCCTTGGCGGCGTGGACATGTCCAACAGGACCGACTCGCAGATGCTGTAAGTAAACATGTTGACTCTGATGTTCGGGCAATTGAATGAACCGCCCACCCCTCACAGATCTCCTACATGCCACATCATCCCCGCAACATCAGCACCTATATCGCCGAGCCCACTGTCTGCCCTGGCCGAGCTGCCAATCCCAGCCTATGCCTCCCCTGTCCCACAGTTCATCCAGGCTGACGCTGATGACAAGCGCATCCCATTTATCCCTGGCGGCGGACTGAGCCGACGTATATTGTCCTCCATACCGAACACCTGGCAGATCCCAGCTGTTTGCCTGCTACAATATGTTATGGAGGGCGACAATCGGGGCGACGCGCAGCTTATGGCGGCGGTAGCCTCTAAAGTGCTGAAATTTGACGTGCGAAGCTGGAAGCAGCCGGGTAGCTGGACACAAGGGCTTTTCGGTGCTCCTCACGATCAAACGCTGTATGGGTGATGTATTGTACGCGCTGCACCGGGTTGTACGAAACCCTGACGCCAGAAACCAAGCTTGTCGTTCATACACGAAATATGGTGGAAGGTGATGCAAACAGCGCCAATCCCAGTGAACTCAGAGCTTCCTTGTCAAACATTCTGGCGATCAGGCCAGCGAATGTAATCACAATATAGAACATTGCAGTGAGTAGTGTAACGTAAGCCTAAGTAAAATAAGAGACACGACGACGGATCGAGATACAAGCTGGCTAATATACAGGTCAAATGTAACTTTTGATGAGGGAGTGCCTGCTCCGTGTGCTGTGGCGGTTTCTCCCCGTTATGTGGGATAGATGTATGTACGCGCAGATGCAGGATAGCGCCCACATTTGTTGCTGGCATATATATGGCAGAGAGCTTTGGTAACGTGCGCGACGAGCCGCTTAATCATGTGCGCTTGTGTAGTATCCTCCGCATCATTGACAGCGCTAGGTCCTGGAAAATTACCCATCAGCTTAAGTGCGCAGTGAACGCGAAGCGTCGGATATGGAGGTTGTAGGAGACGTACAATGATGAGTGTGGAAATGCTCCGACGCCTTGGCGGCGACCGCTCTCCTTCTAAGTCCTCGACTGCACGAAGGGCTTCTTCCAACATGGTCGTCTCTTCGTCCCGTTCTTGGAGGGCAGGCTAGAGGGATTGCTCAGCGACGGCATTGGCGGCAAAGTTGGTTGAATGAAAACGCACCCAAAGGACTGCGCCGACTTCTGGCGCGTCATTTGCGTCTCCGTTGTCGATATGATTTCGTTCGTCAACTGTCTGCTATTTGTATGGCGAGTGAGCTCCTGGACAAGAATAGCGCGTAATCATATCATTTTTACCATTAAACGCTCACGTTGGCTCGGCGCATAACGGGGATATGGGTGGTATCGCAATAGATACGACGAGCGATAACTCGGGAGACGCAT